AAACGTGGTTAATTTCCGAAGAAAATTCTCACTACGTGAGAATAAATAAAGAGTTCACTATGGAATAATGAAGTTGAACTAAGTATATTAATATATTGATATTTAAACTAAGAAAATGATAAAAAATGAGAAGTGGATTTTTGAATATGGAAGAAATTTCAATGTCAAGGATGAGGATGTTCAGATATGAATACGGTGATTAACATGCGCTCCTAAAGTAAGTGAAGTCATTCTGTCTGGGATGGTCCATTTCAATTAGGTCACATTTTAACGATAACAATGGTTCGATGAAGTTTCGCCATGTCATCCTGCCTACCGACAGTGGCTCATCAGATTTTTAATGCTTGCAACAAATCCAAATTAGGAATACGAACTGCACAAACTGAGGAGTAGGAATACACTTCTTTCCTTTCCAGATATTTCTCGCCACAGTGGTAAAGCAGCTAATTAAGTGAATTTACTTGCTGAACAATTTGTATATCACTCCACAGTTGAATTTCAGTTAGAAATATCAACGCCGTACAGTCCAAAATACCAGAAATTATACTTTCCAACAGAGTCTAATTAAAATAATTTTTATGCACAACTGATAATATATGATAAAAAAATGAGAAAGTAGGAAGTTGCATTTCTAAGACATGCTTGCCACCAAATTTGATCGATACTTAGAGTAATATGGTGAAACATTGAGGTTAGGCATATCTAATAATTCAACAGAAGTGATCTACGAGAATTCGAAGGTAAAACTAGTTCAAGACAACATCATTGAATAACTATAGTTGGAACAAGAGAGTATACATGAAGGAGAAAAGACTCACGAAGGGAATATACATTATATTTTAAATTTCACTACAAATCTCTTACCACCCACACAAACTAATTATATTCCAAAAATTTAATTTCAGAACATGAAATAGAATAAAATCAAATTGAAAATCATTTTTGAAGATGCTCGCAACATACAAATACGTCTTCTTTCGAATTAGCAAAATTTAAAACATATAAAAAGACATAAAAGTCACCTATGAAGTCATTGTGTTTTCTGCATAAACTTTTCCAGGAACTTCAAAAAACACTATTACTTTCAAGAGTAAAATACTCACCTCAAAAAATCCCATGGTGAAATCAAAAATTTCCGCAGAACTCATTTCTGGACAGTACATGGTCTTCAACAAAGAACAAATTATAATGGCACCAGCATTTATCATGGGATTGTGTGGTTTTTCTGAAATCGTACAATAATAGTGTCATTCTTATATTTGTAATTTACGTTAGTATATATAATATATTATACTATGGATTTTTTATTATTGTAAATGCTCGTATTACGTTTTCATGTTCAATTAATTAACTTAATTTTGGTTGTTTTTCAGATTTCCTGCGGATCCTGAAAAAAATAATCTTAGGGTTCAGGCAGTGAAACTTGAAAATTGGACGCCGTCGCCAAAAGATGATTATGTTCAAAGCATTTTGAAAAGCGCTTTTACTATCAAACTGATTTTGAAAGACGTCTACTAAATTCAGCAGTCACTACTATATTCCCAGAATTGGCAAATTACATGCAACCAAAGAAGGTAAGTACATTCCTACATATTCCCAATTATTGTTATTTCATAGAATTACCAAAATATGGAAGGTGGGGCAACACCATAGGTATAATATAATAATAATTATTCTATTCGAAAAATTACATATTGTCTTCGTATAAATGAAAATATTTTTTAAATACACGCATTTGAAACTTACACCACTTTAACAATAATATGTACATACTATTCTTGTTAAAAAATATATTTTTGCAGATTTTGAAAAGAAAAGCATCACACCTAGAGGTTGTGCCAGGTACTTCAGCTTCGCATAGTAGCCAAGCACAAGAAGAAACTCCTCGAAAAAAACGGCTAAGAAGAAAACTATTGAATGAGGTGTAAAAGAACAAATAAGAAACAAGAACAATAAAAGTTGTAAAGCAGAAGCTTGAAAGATACAAATAAAAGTTATTTCGTTAAAATTACTTGTTAAAGAGTTGAATGAGAAAAATTTGATATTCTCTGAGAACATGTTAATGTATGATAGTATGCCTTGTATAAGGAACTGCAAAAGCGCAAATTAAAAAAAAAAGTAAATACTCACCTGAGCTGCGTAAGTTTGCTATCACCCAAAGGGTATAACTATTATAAATTATGTAATTTATCTATAAATAAAAAAAATATAGTCAAAAACATTCATTAGAGTTGAATAAAAACTTCNATCTAGTTTTTAGAACAGAAGAAATGTTTCTGGGAATTCAAAAAAGCAAGATACAAGTATTCAAAAAAAGGTGATGAACGAAACTTAATTAACCATCGCCCCATAACTATTTGAAGTTGTTTTGCCAAACTATTCGAATTCATATTATATCAAACAAAAACTCTTTTTCGTGAAAAAGCTTATATTCGATGAGTCAACAAGTAGATATGCTTTAGAAAAAGGCCAATTGAAACAAATTTGCCAATTCTTTTGAATGAAGCGAAAGTCGTAATTTAAAGTGGAAAAAAGTTGGATTTGGTGTGCACTGATTTCACCAGGACTTTTATTGAGGTCGGTCATAACGTTATTTAAAAAGCTGAAAGTCTATTCATTTCGTATTTCAAATCTCATATTGTGAAGAGAACTCTCACTGAATTTTGTCTGAATTTGGTGTACCACAAGGATCAAACTTATGGCCACTCCTTTTCCAAAAATCCATCAATAATATTGTTGAAGCCGACTGCCTTTTATATGCTGATGAGTTATACATTTTTTTCAGGGTTGAAAATATCAATGACTATTTAGCGCTGCAGAATCATATTGATGATGGTGTTCAAATTCGAATCCATGCCATCCATATTGATTACATTATCCAACAAGCTGAAAAAATATCTGGTTTCAACACGAGAGATAGTATCAATTTTTCACAACACACGTATTGAGACTGTTTTTCGCAAATAACTTAAAAAGGATTTCATTAAAAAAATGCATTCTTATTAACCAAACGTGGCGTAGCTAAGAGCGCGCGAATCCACAATGTTCCCTTCCGCTCTAGAATCAGCGACAATAATGCTACCGATTTCGATGGAACTTCGGAGAAATTTCTACGGCATTCGATTACCATATTCAAAGGCTAACCCCCAGAATATCGACACAATCAAGTGGAAGCTACAGTGCGGTACGCGAAGTGATCTAGTAAGACGATATACATTCAAATAATAGTTAAATTTTCAGATGAAGTGTTTGTTGTATTCAAAGTGAAATAAAGTTAAATTTGATTATTCAATGCAGTCAATTATTGGTCAAGCCACGGGGAAAAACGTAACAATATTACAAATACACGCATAAAGTGAATTATAAAGTGGTAACGATGATTTTCAATCGAAATGGTGATTATAGGAATAATTTGTATATCATTTTCGTCACAACTCGCTTAGTTTTGATACTGGAGACATTTATAAAAAATTACTTGGTCTACAGATACCATAATCAAACCATTCTTTTTGTTTATTGAAAGCTACATTTTTACTCGGCATTATTTATCGATGAAATATTTACTTTTTGAGTTATTCACGAAAAACTTTCTGAAAACCTGAGTTTATCAGTTGAAAAATTGATACTTTCAGGAATAAATTCAAAAGTATTGAGTTTCTCAAAAGATTGGCTTAATTCGCCTGAACGTATTCAAAAAACACTTTATTATGACTGTAAAACTGTTTAGTGAAAATCTCACAATAAACTGGTTTTTAAATACGTTAGTTATGCATTTTCATCAAATATCGGCCAATTCCATCATATACATTGAGAGAGATACTTAAAGTGGTGGCATACACTTCCACGGTAAAAGTAACCCCCGGTACACATACACCTCTGAAGTAGAGGGTGAGTAGAACCTGAATCCAAACTTTTGTGTCGATCGGTACTTGATTCGGGTTCTCTTGAACTATTTCATCACACCGATACAATTCTGGAGCGCAACCAGATAAGAAGACCGTTAAATTTTCTTTCAAAAATATTGGTCGTACAATGTTGTGAGACAACACAGTGCGGCAGAATTTGAATTATTCTCACGTGGTTTTCTATGTATTCCATGAACAAACGTTCCAAATTACCTCAGAATCGAGCTCAGAATTGAGTATTTTCATTTTATTTCCTTCACATGCCTACCAAACCCACCGGCTCCTTTGCTGGGGCAAGGTAGCACCGGCCCTGTGGAGGTCCTATACATATAGAATTTTTCAGTTTCAAACAACCATTGTTCACTAGTGGCTGGAATAACAACCCCACTTGTAGACAGTTCACTGCTGCTTATAAAAGATTGATGGTTAGAGTTGAAATTCGAGAGGGGGTGTGGGTAACTGCATTCCATTAGAAAAAATACCTATATTGGTTGGATCTAGTCAGACCCAACCTGAAAATAACATTAATATGAGTCACTCACGACTTACAGATAGTGAGCCCCAAGAACATTATTCCCTGCAAAGTTTATGGGAGGATCATGAATATATAACGAATCCAGCTAAAATAAGCGAATGTTCACATCAAATTGTTGTATATATTGCAGGATTTGTTTCTTGGCACTTACAAAAATCGTTAAAATGTGAACGCTGTTTAACTGCTGTAATAGGGGAAAAAGCCAATTTTTTAAATTCCTTAATAGCAAAAAAATCTCTATTCTCGAGGAGGGCTAACGTATCCTTAACAGGATGTTATAACTATTTGTAAAAAGTCTGAACATTCAGATGAAAAACCAAAAAAATTGAAGCTTTGTGCAAAGAATGTGATGATCTAAGCCAAGGTATCAAAAGCTTTACTATAGTCAAGAAGGACCAGACAGGTAAGATATAATGTAGTACAATGTAATTCTGGGTTGTGTTTCAGCTTGCTTCATTATTAGTTTTAATATTTCTGAGCAAGGTCCCTGATAGGTTTCGGCTAAGTTTTATAATAACTGACTTACTGTTGTGATCAAGAATCAGTTCGTTGAAGTTCCTTCCACTGGGTTCTTGTCCGACGTATTTGTGTACTACGTCTGCTCCAAGAGTATCTAAAGCTATTCCATAGGAAAGTGGTTTGCTGCAAGACTGAATGGTAAAGGGAATGTTAACGTCTCCGATTGAGTACCTCTGCCCATCTATGGTTACAATACTGACACCCCAATAATTTGGATTCACTCTTTTCAGTTGAGGGATATACGAAGCAACCTAGGGAAATTGAAATCCGTAAAATGAACTATACAATGGGAGGCTATATTTTAGAACGAATCCACCAATCAGCAAAACGTGTATTTTTGAAAAAACCCTGAAATAGGTCGATTTATAATTTCAAATGACGACTTGTCAATGTATATGTGAAAGAGTATGTAACCTGTTTTGACATGGTTATGTAATTAGTGAATTATTATACTGCAATATGGGTCATGTGTAACCTCATTAGAATGTTCTTTCAATACTCATATAAGTCAAACGTTCATTACAACTGTCGGTTAATTTTAAAAAAATTATTTTTCTTTAAAGGAAACAGCAGAGTATAATTTTTCTATCAAAGCTTGAGAAAGCTATTGTACAATGAAACACGTGTTGGGGTTGTTACCGGTTTTATAAACTGTCCAGTGAAAATCCCACACAGTGTTACTTGAATACGTTATGAATTTTCATCAAGTATCCACCAATTCCATCACATATCAATATAATAAGCTTGATAAAGATAAGGTTAATCAGAAAATTCGGTAATACATTCTTAACTGTGACAAAGCCATTTTCAGGGTTTTGGTCGTGATCTGCAGGTTGTTATGCCTGGCGTTTCGTCTACTACTGCGGCAGATATCAAAGGAAATGAGGTAACGGTCGAAGTGCTCGAGTTGTTCTCAATACAAAACTATAATGATGGAATTTGTCTCCGGTTTTATATCATCATTAGTGGGCGTCTTTAGAGAGACGGGTACCTATACTTCTTTTCGTGGTTCCAAAGTAAACCGACCCGCAGCTAAGAGGGATCCGGTATACCCCGGGTGTTGCTAAAGGCTCTCTGGGGTCCTCAGCTGACCATAGATTCTCTCTGATAGGCTTCGTTCACCTCAATATTGGTTATACGTCGTTTTTCTCTAAAATTCCCCCAATCCAGTCTGTAACATTTTTGACATAGGGGAGGAAAGCTTTTTCCTCCCCTATCTGGGGTTACTGAATAAGCTCCAGAATAATGGAGTAAGAGGTACCCCACACCAGTGGCTGTATAGTTTCTGCAGTTCAAGAGACCAACCAATACGTTGCTTGATGACATAACTTCCTCAGTACAGAAGGTCGACATGGAGTTCCCCAAGGGTCAGTCCAAGGACCGATTTTGTTCATTTTATACATGAATGATTTGGACAAATTACCAGTTCAGTCCTGTTTTACTATGTACGCTGATGACACTTCAAACATTATTTCAGATAAATCCGATAAATCCGTCTTCTACGGTCATTTCGAATGTCAGTGACTGGTTCAGAGCAAATCACTCAAATCTGAACTTGGAGAAAATAAATTCACTCCGATTCCACAATCGTTAGAAACAACGTAAAAACATGATCATTTCTAATCAATTTATTAAAAATATCAATACTGTCTCTCATATCAAGTTCTTAGGTCTTCATGTGGATGAGTGTCTTACGTGGACACTGTTAGATGCTACAGTCTAAACTGAATAACTACTCGTTTCAATTCCGAAATCTCAAACTGGTTTCAAACATTGATCAACTTCTGAAATTGTATCATGTGCAGATAGACTCTAGACTGCGATATGAAGTATTTTTCTGGGGATTATCTAGTTTCCATAATTTAAGGATTTTAACGTTACCGTCATTGGTTATTTTCGAATTCTGCTTGTATTCATATAAAAATTATAGTGACTTCGATAAAATTAGTTCTTTTCATAGATTCGACACACGCCAAAATATGACTTTCATATTCCGTTCAGTAATACAAAATCACTTTATAATTCATGTAGAGCTATGGCTCCTCGACTGTTTAATTTACTACCGGAAGAGATAAAAGGTTCTGAAACAATAACCAGTTTCAAAAACATTTGAAAGAATTTCTAGTGACCAAATATTTCTATTTCATAGATGAGTTTTTCCGAAACTAATTTTTTGATCTACGTCGGCTCTCTTGCTCAGTTTATTTGTTTATTTATCCTAGAGTTTGGCCCTTTTTATTCTGCTTTTAGTTTGCCTCTTTAGATGAACCCTATACAATTGTCAGTTGTCAAATGGAGATTAGATTATTATTATTATTATTACTGTGGAGTTCTCTCTCCTGGGTCTTATAAACCGCTCGATTTCTATTTTGCTGTACCCATTCTCTTTGAAGACATTTTTCAGGTGATTGAGTTTCTCAGGGAGACTGTCGGGTTCTCACTGGCTACGTGTACTCAATTGTACACAAACAGAGTCATTCAATCCAATTAAGAGAAACGAAGCAAAGCCCACCAATAATGACATAAAACCGGAGACAAATTCCAACATTGTATAGTCGAAGTAAACGATATTGTGCACATTTAAAGTTGGCGGCACTCTCAAAGGCAAAAAAAAACAACACATAGAAATGAACCAGCTGCGAAATAGTGGACTGAAGAATTGGCGGTTCATATTGGATAATTTTTACTAACCGAGTTTTATGATTGTCTGAAGAGTCATGAAATTAAATTTGAAGTCATTTCACGGTGACAAATAGAAATCGGAGAGTGCGGGGATGGTTATCGCCATTGTGTTCAGTTCAGGAACTGATTGCGATTTGAGTGTTGAAATTCGATATTGGTGCAGTTATAATAACTTGAAATTTTTGTTATGTGTTTAAAGTGTCGCGTCCTTGGACAATTACTAATACTAATAACGAATGTGATAACAACGCAGACTTTTTCCTGTGTAGTGATTCCAATAGCGATGGTGAACAATGCGAAAAAGAGATACCAGTGAATAAGATTAGGATGCATTTGAATATTGAAACACAGAGAGTTTGTTTCAATGTATGTAAGAATCTACATCTCAAGTTTGGTTTCGAGGTAAACGAACTATTACAAGCAACATCAGATTTGACCTAAATTCCTTTCTCAACCGTACGTAAAATAGTCAAAAACAAACCTTATGAACGCAAGACGCGATGTGATAAAGATTATCAAAACTTTTAGAAATCATTGAATTAAATTGAATCATTGAAAAAAACAATATACGACTGTAACAAAAGCAATGAGATTCCTGCAACAGAAATCATAAGGAAGAAATTAAATACTTAGAACAAATAAGTAAATATAGACAAGTACAATGGAAAATTTTCTATTTGGACGAAACTTGGACGAAAGGGTGGACTGATGGTTCGAATGTACACTTGGAATGTGTACGCCTAACATACCTGCAAACGAAGGATCGCGACTAATCATTGTGCATTGATCCCAAATTTGGATGCGAATAGTGTTATAATTCTTGACAACGCTTCCTATCATTCGCGACAGCTCATCAAAGTACCGAATAAAAATTCCAGACAAGTTGAAATACAAAGTTTTTTAATGGATAATTATCTGTATTTTGAAGATTACTATACCAAAAACCAACTACTTGAAGTTTTACAGATAAAAACATTTGAAAAAGTGTATGCCCTTGAGAGTATTTCTGAGAAGTATGGACACACCATACTGCCATTTCCCCCTTATTTTTGTGTTTTCAATCCCATCGAATTGATTTGGGAAAAATTGAAACAAAGCATCAGGCGTAAAATAATTTTCCAAAATTTGATAAGAAGGTAATAGAGCTAATTAAAGAAGAAGTATCTAATATTACCGAAGAAAACTGGCAGAAAAGGATTGACAAAGTAATTGATAAAAANCGTATGGGGGCGGCAGCTGATTAACGGAAAAACAGATTTTAAACAGATTTTTTTTAAACAGATTTGTCAAGCGTTGTGATTGCCCCACGGCAATTGATATTTTCCCCAGTTGTCAAGGCGTGGAAGTATATTTTTTAAATGTAATTATCGGAAAATTGAAAAACTGATTTACTCGTCTATTTTCTAACAGTTTCTCCCCAAAACAATTGACAGTTTTTCAAAATATTACCTGAATCTTTCTTATTCAGTTCCAGGTATCTATCCGGTTAGAATTCTTCGAAAATCGACGTTTCGACATTATCCCAGTTGGAATTATCAAGATGAATTTCTGCTTAGTTCGTGCGATGTGAAAGGTTAAACTGTAATTTATTCTATTCCAGAGGTTACAAAACAAACACTGCTCCCACCTTCCCATGAACTGCAACACAGTCCTAGGCAGACATTTCAAATCAAGTTGGCGTCTTCAGAAGATAAACCACATATGCAGTTTATGTAACAGCTTGATTGGTGAAACGCGTGTCGGCGAGAATGTTGCAGCTTTGGAGTGTGAAAGTAGTATTCAATTTGAATTCAAGACATATCATTTCATCAATTCTGCGAATATTTATACAAGTGAATTACCGGTTAATAATTCTTTTCCGAAAACGAGACTCATAGTGGTGATCTCTTGCTATTCAATCACTGATTTATTTTTGTATCTACCTTGAATGCGAATTGCCCCGAATAGTCGTACATTCCACAGCTGTGCATGAGTGATAGGACATCCCTCGTGCTTTCCGGTTTGAGTACCTTTTCTTCCGAAAGAGGGCATATTCCACCATTTGCCAGAGTAGCTGCCATGACAGCTACCAAATCACAGTTAGCTTCCAAAGAACAACACTGTAAAATATAATTGAGTTCAACTGAAAACGTTCATCGTGACCAACAATATTTTGTCAGTCTTACCTGGAAATAAAAGTCCATGCACTCCCTAAATTTACTATTTTCCGGAAAACATTTATGTTCCTTCATATAAAATCCTAAAGCATAGTTTCTATCGGCACATTCTCGTTCGGATAAAAACACCGCGTTGTTGAAGCCCAAATCTTCATTTCCTGCTAATTTCTGAAAGGTACAAAAATTTCAATAGATACAACTATTATTATCATTGACAGAGAGTTAACATTTAGCTCCTGGAAATTTTCATGCCTTTGGATATTTACATTTCCATAGTTCAACTACTCCTAATGAAGAACCGAAATTACTTCAAACAATTGAGAGTAGAGATCAAGCGGATTCAGAAATGCAATTTTTTAGTTTTTTTTCTTTCTATTCCCAACAAGATGACTTTTTCATGGTGTGGAAAAACTGTCTCGGTAAGCTTATTCCACAAAAATCCCATTCTCCAGTTGAGAGAGTTCTTTGAAAGTGTAGTTCGAGGTGTATTGAGTTGATTCGAATGCCTACCGCTGACAAATATCGCCCTTGGTGGATAAAAAGGGATTAAATAGTCAGGTCAGTGAAAGTATCTATAGATCTATTTATAGTAATTAAAAATGATTAGCAAGTTAAAAAATATATTCGCTCAAAAGAATTAAAAAATATTTTTA